TTGTAGATTTTTTAATGAATACAACAGGACCTTTCCAATACACCTGCCCATGACTTACAGTAAAACCCCTCTTCTACACTTTTCAGGGGATCTATGAAAAAAAGTGTAAAATACAGGAAAGTTGAAAAACGTTAGCCTAGGCGAGTACTTTCTTTATTTACTGCAATGGTTACTCTGTTTTCACTTTCTCGCCCTTTGTAAAAAAAAATATAAGCATGTGCCGGAATTGGCGATTTTCGTCAGAAAATCTATTGACGTGCCCTGATAATGAAAAAGTGGATAAATCATATTCCTATACATAGCAAATTACTTCCTCTAACAGTGATGTAGCCTGAATCCCTGTTTTATGGGTCTTTGAATCAGCAAAATCGATTGACGGCGTTTTTTTCCTGCTGAAAACGTCTGTCTGCCCGCCTGTGGTCAACGCGAGCGTCTAAACCGCATGCCGATTTTCTCCAAAATTGATATTCCTCGATTGATTTGAACGAACGCGAAACTTTTGCGATTTCGTTATATACATTTATGTAGTAATGTACTAGATATTGGAACAGGATTTTCCCACTTTTTCAGTATCAGTAGTTTTTCTGTCGAAAAATCGCGTTTTTTGCCGCAGCATTACATAACTTTCTCAGCATTAGGTATAAAACGTACGTTAACGAGAAAGTAAAAAATAAAATAAAATTTAAATAAAGACGTAAAAGATGGGAAGCACTATTTATATCAAATTGTAAATTGCGGGAAGAGAATGCATTGTAAATACAGGCTTTTCAACGGGACCAGCGAAAAATTACGTAAAAGGCAGGAAAACGTAAAAACGGGGTTTTACTGTATTACCAACAGCTTGCAAACCTGTTTGCCATGTCCTTAGTTATCAGCTATGTTCACTGTTTGTTCCCACCTTTGTTTTTAAATTATTAATGTACATACAAAATTATATAAAAAATTAAATGAATTCAATTTTTGTAACCCAAAAAGGGAGAATAATTAGTTACGAGATAAAAAATTAGAGTAGAATGAAAATAAGTCTAAAAAAAAAGTGAAAAAAAACAGACTTGAAATTGTTCTATGTATCATTGTATTTTTCATTAAATTTGTTTAAAGTTTATTACCCCAAATCTCATTCCCTATAGATATTGTAATTTGAAGATACATTTGCACTGTTGACAGTTGTCATTTGATATTTTTCTGTAGATTATTCATAGTTTTATTGTATTATGAATCTTATATCTGAAATTTGTCATCAAAGTGTCTCTTATTTGATAAAGCAATTTCAATTTTTGAACAGACAGAGAATCTGTAGCATAATGTTTCAATTCTTAATCAATGCATAATAACCAGTATACAGCACACTTTGTGCAACTTATTTCATGTTATTATTTCTTGTAAGAGAATTAAAGCAAAATACTCCATCAATTTCAAGGGAATATACAATAAAAAAAGTCATTCAATAATCGTTACTTGGTTTTTCAAAATGAAATGCAAGTTTTATGTTTCACGAAACGTGTAATTTGTTCAACAAATGTGTCAGCATTTAACACAAACTACACACTTTTAAAGGTTTATGAGATATTTGAATTTATATAAGGCAGGGAAGAAAAATGTCACCATCAAAAAACTTCATTAAATATGAATTTGGCAAGCATTCAGCACCAATATAAGACAAAATTCTTCCCTTTGATGGCAAATACAAAATATATTTGTCAATTTTAAGTACAAAGTCATATTTGACAATGTGTGATGCTCAAGCCTAAAAAATGGAAATTTTTGACTCTTGGTTCTTTGTTTTGCTTTGCCATTTCTATACATACTGAAGTGTTTTTAAAATAAATATCATCCACTTCCAATACAAAACAGGATGCGACTACTGCAGGGTTTAAAATATTTATGCTCTGAAATTCAATATATTGCCTTTTTACTGAGTAACTTATTATTTTCAGATTGATTTATTGTGGATTTCAGCAATGTAGTAAAATTGAGTTAGTTCTATTACTTGTACTGCTTTTTTGTTTTGTGGCTTTTCATAGCGAAATATTGTACAGCTACTTATTCCTCTTATTTACTATTATTATTAATTTCATTGTTATCAAAGAAAGTACTTGTTCATCATTTAATTACTTTGACTTGTTGATCCTTATTCATATTTACTACAAAGAGCTTTTGAATGTCACATAGTCTTGGAGTTCAGGTATTAAGTATGTTGTACACAAATTTTTGTATGTATGATTGTAATAGTTCCGTGCGAGTGAGGGATACTAATGTGCAAAAGGTTTTGACAGAATATTATTAGCTCATACCACAAGAACTTTTTGCTCTTAAAAAAAGGCTGCCCTTCAATGCAAGTCTGTCTAAATGCAGATTTACTGTAATCTTAGGAGTCAACTTTTCTCAACCATATAACTAGTAGTAAAACGAAATGAGTGTGTGCTCGCCCACAAAACGTATATCTGGGCCTTCTATATAAAAGAGTACTTCATATACATCAGCGTATGATTACTACTACATCGACAATCGCAAAACCTTACGCTCACAATTCTTACAATTGCAAACCCTTCAGCCCGAATATAAGCTGTATTACCTGGGCCTGCTCATATTGCAGGCATGAATGTTTTGCCAAACGGATACACCAATTTCATTCTTCAAAAATATTTTGCATCTTTTATATCCAAAGATAAGAACAACAGAACCACAATAGAGGCAATAAAAGTTAGTTTCAGGAACTCGGGTCAAGTAAAATCTGAAAGCCTAAAGAAAAACAAAAACTTGTCACATTTTTCTCTCGCTCCTGCTGACCTAAATCTGTACTGTCGTGCTTGCCTTACTCAGTGGCGAGGCATGTGTATATCACTTTGTTTTTACATATTTAAACAATCAACATCATTAATCATCCTTATGAGGATGACAGACTTACCTTAAAAGTGGGTTTTACATAACAAATACCTGTAAATGGAAATGCATTGTTATAGTGGTTTTTCACTAAAATGGGGTTACATTATATTTCCAAGTAAATTGGAGCACAAACCCTTATTATGAATTTTAGCATTAGGCAGACAAATTTTTTTTTCTGACATATATTATGCTTCCAAGAAAAATGATTTTCATCAAGAATGTTTTTAATTTATGAAACTAACAATTTGGTGATTTTGAGGCATCCATATTAAAAGCTTAACGGATATATTATGGAAATGAAAACATCAATAAAAATAAGTTTATTATGGGAATGGATAAAAATGTGAGATTCTTGAATTGTGTATACAAAATGTTTTAACAAAATTTTGATGTTTTAGATGTTCTTTTTCCTGAAGGTCTCTTGATTTTCAAGTATTTACACAAGCCATCTTTTTACTAATTCTATATTTGAGTGAAACAAGTACTGAATGTACATATCTGAATGGAAAATATCTATACAAATTTATTATGCAACAAACAAAGAACTATTTCAAAAACTACTCATTTCCAATATGACAAAATTCAACAGTAATTGAAAGGTCCCTTGAAATCAGTATCAGAAATACAATTTCATTTGCAATGATATCTTCAAAATAACATGCCTTTGTTTTGTTGACAAAATTAAAGCAATGTCAAGGCAAGAACGGTTTTCATAATTGCACATGAAGGGTTGGAGTAAAGTTCAAGGGAATTATTTATACTAAAAAGATCCGACAGGGAAAAACAAATACATTGTCTTTTTCTAGAGCACATAAAAATACCATTTTGTACCATAAGAAATTTGTTTGATAGCTTTTAAAAGAAGTCAATGAAAAAGCTCCACAATGTGGCAAAACTATTTATAAATATTGATGTATCTGGGAAAACACTACTTTCATAATATGTAATTGAACTGTGACTAAACTGTGAAATTACTGTTAATTATTATTATTTTTCTTTTTACTTCCTAAGAAACAGTTCGAAAGCTTGCACACCACGTGACAACAGAGCTCTTTCATTAACTTCAAAAACTAAAAGCACACAACAAACTGCATGATGACTAATGGCAAACACAGTATTAATCACACTTGTTCAAAAGCATTCACAATTGGATTAATGTTCAGGTTGAAAGCTACGTATTCCAGATCACTGAAATTTTGTTGTGATAATAGTATTTCCAACACTGTGTCCTCATTCTTGTTTGTTATCGATATTTTGAAAAACACTGCTTTTAATCCATAATTGAAAAGCAGTCTACCAGCCCTATTCCTGGTAACTCGTAAGCTGGCAAACATGATCACATGTTTCAAACCTGTTCTATAAAATATCTCTGTACATTGAATTACATTCCTAACTCACATCGCTGCTTTGTCCAATTATAAAAGTTACAATGTACAATCTCCCATGTCTTCTGAAGAAGTTTGGTCAAGTTCACTTTTTGCTTGATATTTCTCACACTTCTCACACAAGCCAATAAATAACTGGTTGGATATAGTAGTAGCCACACATTTCATGTGAGTCTTACTTCATGCAAGTCTCAGCTCATTGTCCATATCCGTGGCAATTTACATTTGATAATTATGTGCAGAAACACAAAAGTTTTAGATGGACTCAAAATCCTGCAGAAACACGCAACGAATCCACAAAGATAATGTAAGCAATAACAATATGCAGAGTATACACACTAGATGCACTTTAAACAGTTCACTTATCCAAATTCAAGGCTGCATACTCATCTACATCAGTCATACAAAATTGCATCCCGGAGCAACAACAAATCCGTTTTGCCTAAAATAATAATAAAGAATGTTAATTGCTTAAAATTACAAATTTTTAACCTATATACATTTTCAGTCTAGAAGCAACCTATTAAAAAAATTCAGAATTAAAGAGGACAGGAACAAAAAAATATGTTCACTAATAATTCTAAATACATTTTGAGTACCCAAGGAAATTCGTTCTTTTTTCTATTTGAAGTAAGAAACTTAATACATAAAAAAATATAACATGCTGCTCCTCTCATACTTTACTCGGATTAAATTTTTTTTATCAGAAAAACAGTATAGACTACCCTAAGAGAAGACACCTTCACATTTCTAGTGTTATCTTTGGGAAGTCTCTTGTTTGAATTACATCAGCACACAATATTTATGTTTATGGAGCCACATACCTGTTCCAGGGATGATCTCGCCTTCCTGCACAACATGTGCAACCACTTGTGCATTGTCATCAGCACCTGGCTGATCGACAACAGATGCCATAACAAGCTGCTCGTTATTGTCAGCTGGGACGGGATTTCCTTCACCTTCCTTGATGTAAAACTGAGAACACCCTCCTCCAATTACATTCACCTGGTCTGGCATGAGCTGGGCGACAGCTTCTGCCACTGCGGTGTCCAGAGTTAGAACAGCCCCTTCCTCTGATCCTTCTGCTTGGTCAGTAGTCACATACACACACTGCTGCATCCCCTCTCCCCCCTCCATCTCATCTTGTCCTTCAGTTGCAATCTGATACACCACACCATCTTCACCTGTCACAGTCACTACTTCTGTTGGATTTAACTTCCCACCTTCCATAAACAGTTTTCGTGCTGGCACTGAGATTCCACCACTGGCCTTTCCTGCAGTTGGACTGGCTGCTCGAGGTGCAGTATTTATTGTCTGCTCAGCAGTCTTTGCCCCTAATTCAGCAGGAATTTTTGTCACTGTCACTCCCTGTTCCGTCCGTAAAGTGTCCACATACTGAGAATCTGTCACACTACTTTCTATTACAGTGCCAGTTGTTCCTCCTGGACTCATCTCCACCTTCAACAAGGTCTCGTTACCTTCTGGATATGGCACTGGCGAAGATTCCCTCTTGTCTGGCAAAATTTCCTCTGACTCGTTAGCCCCAGGAGCTGGACCCGATATCTCATCTTTGGACAGCTGGGTGGGAGTTGGTCCTGATGTTGGGACAGGAACAGATGCAGGGTTGGGAGGAGGTTGCACTGGGCTGGGAGGTGGAGATGGCTCCCCTTCAGCACGACCTAAAATTTTTCCTGTCTCTGGACACAAAGTGAAAGGCCTAGGACTTTCAGGTTCCAATGAAGGAAGGTCACCCATGGGCAATTCTGGTAAAGAGTCCCCACTGTCACTGTCACTTGATGACACCTCATGGAATTCCATGTGGAGGCCATCATTTTCATTGAGCTTACCAGGCCCCTTTCCTATAAGGTCATTACCAAGGCCAAGGCTACTTCCTCGCCCACGCCCCCTTCCCACACCTTTCCGAGGTCTCTCTTCTTCCACTCTCACTCCAGGCTTCACAGTGGCAACAGTTAGACGCTCTCCAGGTTTCAAAGTGCCTTCTCCATTTTTCTTAGCTGTCAGGAGACCTGAAGTAGCTAAGGTCTGCCCCTGTACTGCCTTACCTAACATGGCATGAATGGGCTTCACTCCACTTTTAGTCTGGGCAGTAAGTGGAGACACCACTTTTCCAGCTGCAGGCAGGCGTGGCCGAACGGCACTGGTAATTTTTGTCTGGATACCTGGAATGCCTATTGGTCGCTTCACTCCAGGAGCAATGGGCGTCTGGGAACGAAGAGGACTTTGCAAGAGGGTGCCACGTGGTTGCAAAATGGCAGTTGGTCGAGGTCCTAAAATGCGGGGCGTAGTTGTTACACTGCGAGGGCTGGTTGAAACAACAGTTCGTTGGGCCAACTGGGGCGCAACCTTCATCAGTCCAGGGCCTCCTAGAAGCACTCCTGCCAGCTGACCGGGAGCAGGCTTAGGCAATAATTTCACAGGTGGAGGGGCAGGAGCTAAAGGCCGCAGACGAGTTGGAACGCTTCCTTGCCCAGTATTGGTTTTTCGGACAATACCAGATGTCACACCTGGTTTGACATTACTCTCCAAAGGTTTTCCTGGAGGTGTCTTGGACGATAACACTTTACCCTTAGGAGGAGATCCCGGCAAAGATTCCAGTTTTACAACATTCGATTTATTGGCTACAATATATACCCCTGAAGTGAGATTCGGCACCTGACGAGGATCTACTTTAATAACTCCTTTAGAGTTGGCTACTAGCACAGGTGGCTGACCTGCAACTTTGTTTCCTTGTTGGGGAGATCTTGCTTTTGATTCCGGAGAAGAATCAGATTCTAACCCTAATTTTACAGCCAACTCATTGGCATCTTCCTTACGAGGTTTCATACCATTTATTGCATTCCCTTCTTCAACACGTATTTTCCTAGGTCGACCAGGAGATCGCTTTACTACAGGAGCAAATAAATGTTCCTTGGCTTTATGAATAACTCCAACAACTTTGGCTTGATTTCCTTGAATAGCAACTACATTTTCCTCCCCAGAAGAGCCCTGCATTTCTCCACTGCTCCAATGATCATCATCATCTGGAGGCTCCAATTTTACTTTTTTCTCAGAGAGTTCGTCTTCATCAGAATCACTGCTTTCACCAACTTTTCTTTTACCTAAAAATGAACATGAAGGAAATAAAGCAAAAGCACTCATTTTACATGAGGAAAAGTACACATAACAAATATTGAGAAATTACCAAATTCTGTTGTTTTAGCCATAGAGCCACACCATGACTTCACTTGTTCTAAGGCTTTCTTCTTACTACTGCGAACAGGTCGACTGCTGCAATGTATTAAAAGAAATCAGAAAACATTAATTTTTTAATGCAGAAAAACTAACTTTAATTTTAGTACCTTTCCACACCGCTAGGTCCTGGCTCCAGTCCTTGGTCTCTTACACTTGAACTTGGACCAGCAAGCTTTCGTGTCAAAGATTGTGCATTTGAAACAACTTTCTGTGCCTGCATTTGAGCTTGTTGGGCCTGCTGAGCAGCTTTCTGCTTTGCCAGGTTGCGTTCAAATGTTTCTACCAGTTTGTCACAAGCTGCCATGTTATGAACAGGTTCCCAAGTGTTCTGTTCACTGTGAAGGAAGTTCATCAATGAAACATTATTAATGTAGGTAGTTATAAATTACTAATACAACCACTAAATTTGCAAATATTTTATGTTATGAAGGTTAAAAATTAGAACTTACTGTGGATAGCCTTCCCATTTCAGTAAATATTCATAATATTTCTTTTTGGGATTGAATCGTTTTGCTAAGATCTTCTCAACAACGTATTCATCCTCACTGGACCCATCATTTAGTGAACGATTCAGTGAACGACGAGTTACTTTGTTGCTGTCTGGTCGTGGTTCACTTCGTTTCTTAGCGACTTGAATTTCTATAGGAGCTGATAAAATTTCAGCTGATTCATCCATGTCTTCTACATCCCATGCTCCTCTGCTCCCCTCTTCCTCACTTAATTTTTCTTCCTTAATCTCAATTGTATCATCATTCTCTAATGACACCTTTTTATTAGAATCATTTTCATCAGAAACTGTATTGCTTGCCTATGAGAGAATTATAATTTACAATGTTTTAAAGTACATGAATTCAAATCTTTGAAGCAAATAATTAAACCAAATGAAAATTTACTAAAAAATTGTCACAAGCATGTTTTGGATGTTCAAAGAACAGACTACACGAACTGGGAATCGTACTATTTCATCCAAAAAGACAGTTAACTCTAGGACAGCTTTACGGTGATAAGAGCACCATTGAATATACTATACATTGTAGCACCAGGTAACAGTTGGGAGTTTAACAATTACATAGGAATATGCTTCCTGATTCTCAACTGACAACTACCATTGCAATCCCATTCTCTAGAACAATTATGTAATTTTTATAAACCGTTTTGAATGTTCAAAGAAATGACTGCTGGGGGAGGATTGTAAAATATACAAATATTGTCAACACACAATATATTATTTCATACATACTGGAAAAAGAAAGATTTTAAATAAATACCTTTTTTCCATCATGATTTTCCCTGTTGTCTTCACCTCCTGAAGCACACTTGCCGGTAGTGGAAGTATTTAAAGTTATGGTTTTAGTCACATTATCTTCTGAAGATGTATTATTCCAACTCTCTGAATTGTTTTTTTCTGTACTTGCAGTTCGTGTGGTGCCTTTCTTCTGATCTGCTTTCAACACACAACCATAAATCAGAATGCCAGCTATGTTCATAGTATTTTCAAGAGTTTCATGTTCTTAAAAAGTTAAATCATAAATATGATCAAGAAGCAAAGCAACAAATGATGTTAATTAGATATTATTACAGCTCTCTTCAATAGACAATCAATCACACTATATAAAACTGCAATTAAATTTCAATGATTTCAGAAATTGTGTACTTATTTTTTAACTCACCATGCATTTCATCTTTACCATCAGATTCTTCTCCAGGTCGTGTATTTGCATTTCGAATTTTACCCTAGAAATAAATTCATATTTGTAAATTAACCTGCACAATGTCTACAACATACAGAATCAATCTGTAGCAAATGCATTAATTCAGAAGAAATGCATCTACACTACAAGAAAAAACAATCATTTTTCTTGTATTACATCAATATTTTGGGTACACCTGAATTTAAAAAATATATGACACTTGAAATAAGCAAATGTCACATTGTTTTGAAATTTTACTAACATCATTAGGAGTCCTAATTTCTTGTAGTTTAGCACTGGCAATCATTGAGAAACTCTGCAGTGCTCTCCCAGCAGCAATCCAATTATCACGAATTTCTTCATCCATTTTACACCAGCGCTGGTACATCTTCCAAGAACTGATATTTCCTGGTCCTCCATCCCCTCTGTCTTTATTAACAATTGCACTTTTCCACAACAAAAACGCCCACACTTGGGGCTTTGTCTCCTAAAAACAAACAATAATCAATAGAGCACAATTCATCGCATAAGGTGAAATTCAATAAACTCATCTTCACATTACTACTACACACCTGTGCACTGAAAGAGGAGGTTGGACAGGCTTCCTGTTTATGCTCTTTAAACTCTTCAATGAAATGAAAAACATTACGGCAAGTGCCACACACTAAAATATCCAATTTCGCAGCATCTTCTTGGGCACCTGCCAAAAAAAATTGAAAAATAAAAATGTATTGCTCCTTTTGCATTGTAATTAAATGAAGTTAACCTATTTAATACTGATGTTCTTTGTCATACCTTTAATAACTTTGGGGTTTTTATTTACACTTGATGGGTCTCCACCATCTACCTCCATCGTGAAATAATTAGTTGGTTTTGGCTGCTTGGTCAATATCTAGAAATACCTTTGGTTGTACTAATGCATATTTACTTTCTACAGCGTAAACAAGCAAGTGAAAAAAATTAGGAAATTATTCAAACATTAACCTCACTTCATATGTTTACGAAAGTCGTGGGACCAAGCCACAGGGGCGAAACTGCCTGTTCAGGCAGCATGGATGCTATAAAAACCAACGAGCAAATTTAAATTTGCTAGTCCAATACACCAGATCTCATAATCTAGACTTATTTTATGAGACAATAAAGGTCAATATTTTTCATTTGAAGCATCGCTGTTTATTTTCGCGTATTATCCAATCACATAACTTGATGCTGAAAAGATACAGTGAAGGTATAAACTATCTATACGATGCTATAGTCAAAGCCAAGATGGCATTGCGTATTCGATATAATGCCGCGTAAAATTAGATTGCAATGAAGCCACTAACAAACAAGCGCAATTCACAGATAGCACACTTACAGAACTTAGGGATAAGCGTCTGCAAATGATGTTCAGTTCACAAAAGTAACAAATTTTCGTACATAATTTCATTTCTTCTTGATTTCAATACTTGCTATGAGATCGCAACCGCGTCATAGCGACTACAGCGCTGTCGGTGGTAGAGTGGCGGGAAACATTGCATACGGGGCTTTTGGACTAATAATGTCATTTCCTATTGGTGATATAGGAGTAAACCGGATAAATCGTGATGTTATTATAATTTATAATCTTGTTTGCTATTCCCTCTTTGTAATGAGTAATTATGAGCGAGTAATAATTTGAGTTCCAAATCATTATTAAAAATAAAAGTTTCTGTTATCCTCTTCAACAGTCACATGTCGCTCCATATTCGGGTGCCATTTGAGTGCCCAGTGAGCGCGCGCGATTATTAGATTCAGGAAAATACGGAGTGGTTGATAGCCATTCAGAGCTAGTTTTTTTATTCAATGCGAAGTATTTTCAACTTAATACACGGTAATTTTAGTTAGGTGCTTGACTTTTCTGGAAACTTCATGTTTTTATAGTATTTTAAAACACTGCGGTAATGCTCATGTTGAAATATTTATGTATCAAAATTTCTGTGAATTAAACAAGCTAGAAAATTTTTTTAGTTTTCGAATGAAGCTCTAAGGTCGTTTGTTGTTTTGTCACTTATGGAAAATAGTTTGGCGACCTAACAATAGTAAGAATAGTATCTTCACTAAATTGGCGATGTAAATGATCAGATTCGACGAGATTAATATACTACAACTTTTGTCAATTCCGTAGAAGTATTTATTTTTGTTTCGTGCTTCGTTTCATTATATGATATTTCGTAATAAATTCCTCCCCATTCATAAGGATTTGTGAGAGTGATTTGATTAATTTGAAGTTTCCTTATATTTGAGATTTTACCACTAAGTATAAATTTTAAAATTTATAAATATATTTACATTTGTTTATATGTTACATTTGTTTACATACAATTTGTTTATCATATCTATGATTATGGGAGAGTTCATTGTGGGAAAAACACTTTGTTTGGATAGGAAACTTAGTAGCTTTCAAAATACTCATTAATAACATCCAAGTCCTTCAGTTTAAGGAATAATTTTGAAGCTGATTACACAATGTTGTGTGTCATTGATAAAAAATGTTACTATTGAATTTAAGCTTTACATTAATATTATTGGTAAGAAGAATGTAGTAAAAACAATCAATGTTTCCAGGAGTGGCAAAAACCATGGCTGACGATGAAGATGGGAAAGAATACCGCTGGGAAACAGGATATGAGAAGACATGGTATTTGGAAATTTATTTTGTGGTTAAATTGAATGAGTCAAACATTGATAGAAGTAAGTATCTTTCAATTGAATATATTGAATGTTTCAGGGAGGCCATCAAAGAAGATTCCGAAGGCCTCTTGGAAGGACCTGGGCTCGATATGGTACAACGGGCAAGACGTCGGCAGCGTCAAAAATTAAGTCATACTCGACTAGGTATGATGAGACATCTCTATTTGATTTTGGATCAGTCGGAAGCCATGACATCTCAAGATCTGAAGCCTACACGTCATTTATGTACATTAAAAGTGGGTACTCTTTCATCTTTTCAGCTTTCTTGTTGTTTTGGGCCTGAATTTGTTTTTTAAATAAATCTTTTCATCATGTCCCTATAATTTTCTTTAATCTTTGTGATCTTGCCTCTTGTAGAGAGATGACATGCAAAGATATGAAGGATATAGATTGAATAATGAAACATTTTATTTAGATTTGAATAATTTTATTTTACTTAGCAAAAAGAGATCCTTTTGATGTCAGTTGGATTATTAGAACTATTTTTAATACACAAATGTCAATATAAAACTTCTATGAAAATAAGTTTAAATGTCAGTAAATTTAAATGAAATAGAATCCCTCACAGACAGTTTGGTATTCTCCTTGCGTAGTAGCATTGTCTTTTTTCCCCATTTCAACAGTTATGCAACACTCAGTTGACACTGAGAAAAAGCCTCCACTTAAACTAACACTAATTCAAACAATATTATATTTTAAACAACAAAACACTTTAATACTTCAGACTATTTTTCACCATCCCATTTGTTACAGTTTATTACTCAGTCATCTGCGAGTGGAAATTAATGAACACATAACAAGAATAATCTTATTTACAAATTGCTCTTGGAAACCAATAAAGTGGTTACTTTGACAGCTGAGCATGCTGTGGAACAGGGTTGCTACATTGGATGCTAGGAACCATGTGGCCACTTGGCAACCATGACGGGACATATGTGAGCGCAACCAGTGATAAAAATTAGCATTTTGTTGTTCTTGCAACTTGAAGACTATTACTACTATTATTATTCTGTGCTTCCTCAGATTTTGGCAACTGTCAATTAATTAATAAATAAGCCTAGAAATAAGTCATGCATCATCAGAAAAAGTCTCGTTAATACTGCAAACACAAGTACTCTGAACCAACAACTCATGAATGTACTGAAAACCAAATAACAACTCCAGTATATAAGACTTTATTGTAAACAAATTGCTTATAATAATAAATGCGCAAATTATTTTTTTTTTTTCCCAGCTTTTGGAAATTTTATTGAAGAGTTTTTGAATCAAAACCCTATAAGCCAACTCGGAAATAATATCAACGTAAAAATAAAAGAGCAGAGAAGATGTGTGAACTTGCTGCGTAACCCAGGAAAACATCTCAAAGTAAGGTATCATATACCGGTACAACTATGGAAAGTTCATTTAAACTAAACTCAATTTTTTTTAAGTTTGCACTTTGTACCTCTCCGGCAAGGGCACAATCTATGGTGGAGGGGATGAAGGGTTTGTAATTGGTCACAAATATGACGTCACAAGTTAGGGGAGGCAGTTTCACCCTAGTATCTTTTCAGAGCTCCATTACAAAATAGTGCTGTGATTGTGGTGGTGTGATAAACAAAGGTTGTAGTGTTCTTTCTCCACAAAGTGTTTGCAACTGCACAGTTTGAATTTAGAGGCTTTCTTGTAAAGTGCTTTCTTATAAAAGTGAATTGGTAATTATGCGGTGATGTTTATAGTGAACTCGAGGGCCGAAGGCCTGAGCCTTGCTGTGACTTGGATCCTGGCAAGTGAAGCGAGAAAACTCGCCTTTGAAAGTAATTTGGCATTACAATGCGGTGGGGGCAAAGGATATGAAGGACGAGCCATGAAATTTGCATATCCGAAAGTTTTATTCAATTCTATCAGTGTGCGTGGCGTAATTTGAGGGAGGGCTTAAGGAGTCTCCCCTCCCCGTCCACTCCTCACTCTTCCACCCCTGTCACCACCACTGTTCTCTAAAGATGTACCTTGTACCCTACTTTAACCAAATTTTTTTCATTTAAATGTAATTATCAAATTTGCTTTTATGTTTGATAAAAATGTATAATTCCTTCATTGACAGCTTTTATGAAATTAAGTTTGATTGAGTATTAAAAACTACATGTGCTTTTAAGTAACGTGAAAATGATTGAAATGCAGTCCAACTATTACTCTAGAAAAGTGAATTTATCCTTAGCAATTGTGTCAGATGTAGTAAATTGCTTATATCTCTTATTGCTTTTATGAGGAGAAGAGAAAACTTATTTTAATGTCGTGTTAAGACCTGGGAGAAGGAGCTACTTTCCTAAACTGCCTTTTAGGGAGATCTCTTTTAACTAGATGAACCTGTAAGTGGATGCCACTCTTTGCCCACGTGTCATTCCATACACTAGCATGATCTCGTATTACCATTATTAGTGTAATTTTACATGATGGACTGGCAGAAGCCTGGTCAAACAGATATCAAACAGATATCTCTTCTATCACAAGTTCACACAAGTAATATAATTTGTTCACTTAAGATCCTGCTGTTGATTTCTTTCCTCTGCTTAAGAAACATGCATGAAGTGCCACTGTAAGTTATTCCTGTTGCCACCGAGAATAAGTGACACAAACTGCCATTGAGGAGGTTGTAAAGGTCATTTGTTTCTTTATCTTCTTTTTAACTTGTTGGTTACAGATGGTCGTTGAGGCCCTCTCCTATTTATTTTTTTAAGTTTGCATTTTATTTGACTCCTATCTGAATCTTTGTATATCTTTCTCTCGAACTAAGGAGAATAATTAAAGGGGTCAAAGCAACAGTGATAATCCTCATTTTTGTAATTTTCAGCCAGAGTAAAAAGAAAGTTTGTGTAAATCCTGATATGTTTTACTTGCGTGTATGCACTTACTGCAATTTTCTATACACATATTGTAGTCTTATGAACATGATTTTACAGAATTTGAGTTCTTTTTTATTTAGGAAATTAAGAATATTTTATTTTGGATGTGCTTTTGATTTGTTGGTTTTGCTCCTAACTTTGAAGATATGTCATTGGATTGCTTAATTAAAAATAGTTATAACTTGTTGACAATTTAATTTATAAACTAAACATATTTTCCTAAGGCCATGATATTCCAATGTTTATTTTGGTCAGTACAATTATAAAAAAGGACTAGTTTTGTAGCTTTCACTCTTCTATGTTGTATGTATATATTTCATAATACAACTGGCAATTTTACGCTTCATCTCCATGCAATAGTCTGCCCCAGGTAAACATCTTTTTATGGGGTTAGCTTCAATCCTTCAATACAATCAATCAAAATCTGCCAAATCCCAGAATGCATGAGATATTGTTTCCTTAACACAGACCATTTTTTTACTTCATTTGAAAGGTTACGTACATAATTTGCCAATAGTGCAACATAGAACTATCTTTTTATTTTATTTGATTTATATTTCCTCCTTTTCTTCTTTGCTTGTTCTTATCCTTGTTTTATTTGCTTCTGCCTTTTCCTTGCTGTGGAGATGGATATGGCAATGTACTCATAGAAGAGGTTATTGATATCAGAAGCGCCTCATCGTGTAACAGAATAAAATATGCTAATGTTCATTTTAGGTTATTTTTGAAGCAACTTAATCGTAACCCTCATCTACTTTTTATGATGGTCTCTGTGCTGTGTTGAATATAATCCCGGTCATTAACATTATGTCATCATATGTGTCATTATAGGGATAAATATCTTTTTGAACACTTTGAGCTTGAATATTACTGTATCCAGCCATTTTGCCACTGACAGATATGATTATGTTGCCTCTAAACATTAGGCAAAACTGTAAAGTTGCAACACTATCACTTGACTTTCAAGGACAATCTGTTGACACCTTTTAGAAAAATTGATAGCAGTGGTTCAGAAGAGATGCACCAGAGTACAGTAGTACACATTACTATTCAGAAAAAATGAGGGTTATCATAATGTTGCCTCAAGTCCTTCAATTCTTGAATGCTCCTTTCATGAACACAAGTGTTTGGATGTTCATAGAGGGGTGTCAGTTCAAAACCTTGCTAGTGTCTAATGGAGAAGCTGCATGTACTCAATTCATCAATTTGAGAGCTTGATGCTATTTCAATATGTGATGCCATTTTTTTAAAGATAATAGCAAGTAAACTGCTTTAATTCCTGTAAAATATTTATCCTGACTTCTTTTCCTGCAAATTTGTTTGTTTTGTGAGTAATGTGTAATGAAACTTTTTGATGTAAAATATCTTTGGGGTGGTGAGCGAATCATCCTGAATGCTCAGTGAGAAGTAGAAAATCAAGGTACTTGTGTCAATTTTTGCCAACCAAAAAATCAACTATACTAGAAATATACCAATAAGTCTGAAGATCTTGAAGAATTGAGAACAATCTGTACAGTGAATATGGAATATTATAGTACTTTTGAGAAATGCTGGAAAACAATAATGCTTTCATTGTAACATGTTCATGGGCACCACTGTGAATATTTTGAAATAATTTGAAATAATAATAATATAATTACTAATTTAGTATATGCATGTGATTGTTAAATATCACTTGCATTTTATTTACAAGAACTTTTTTGTTCATAATTATGAGTTGTTTAATAATTTTAAAACAATCTAAAACCTCAGTGAGAATATTGGTATACACTAGTACAAATATAGGTTAACTTCTTGCAATTTAATTTTAGAAATTTAATTTATTGAAGTCACAATAAAATATCTGGTTTATAAGTTTTACAGAATATAAGATATGATCTTTAAGATAATGTTCTGAAGTGGCGTTGATCTGTCAGTTGATTGTACATTAATATAAGATAACATGCACATATATTATAGATAATATACTTCTGCTTGTGCAGTTTTGTTTTCAGCAATTCATTTCAAAACCACAAACATTGTAGCAGATCCATAACTAAATTCATTGTTGTTTTGTAAGTACCACTTTGTATTATGATTTTAGGGAATATTTTGTGTTATTTTTTAACTTACGGAAAATTTATTGCTTGTAGTGGGACCCATGCAAATAATCTAGGTGTAGTGAAGCATTGTTCTTAAAATGAAAATACCTTCATACCGGAACCCATGTTTGAACAGCCAACCCCTGAACAGTGCAAAGTAAACATTTTAATATTGTTAAAAGTTTCTTAACAGAGACTTACACTCATGAGATTAAATTGCTCACAGTATGAAATAGTTAATGTAATTTTACATGTTCTTCAACATACTGTTTGTTTCTAACCACCCATGCTAGTAGTAGGGATATCTAGAAGTGTTAAAGTTCCACAAATGTAATTGATGGTTCAAAGAGATCTTGTTTCGTCGAATAGAGTTTAAGAAATGTGACTCAGACTCTGCTTGTCCCCAAATATATCCTACAAGTTCCCCCACATGTCCCTTTCAAGTTCCCCCACATGTCCCTTTCAAGTTCCCTCACATGTTCCTTGCAAGTTCACCATGTGTTCCTTGGAGCATCCCCCATATGTTCCTAGTAAGTTCCCCTACGAGTTCCTGGCAAGTTTGCTCACATGTTTCTTGCAAGTTCCCCTATGTATTCATCCCAAGTTCCCCCATGCATTCCTGGAAAGAACCCCCAAGTGTTCTTGTAGGTTCCCCTAGTATTCATTGCAATCCCCCCCACCTCCCCATTTGTTCCTCACTAGATCCCACATGTTCCTTGCTAGATCCCTCTCTTGTTCATCAGTTCATCCACATGTTTCTTACCAGTTCCTCCACGTTTCTTACCAGTTCCCCCATGTGATACTCGCAAGTTCACCCACAAGTTTTCCGAATGTTACCACGTAAGTTTTCCAATATATATTTCTCTGAAGTTTTTGTGCACATGCCCTCATAAGTTTCCTTGATATTTTCCCCCATGTCCCTTGTATTTTGTACTTTCTTGCTACCACTTACACGGCAGAGAAAAAGTGGTGTAATGCTGCGCAAGAAAACCGTGAATTTTCGGCAGAAAAGCGGCATTACAGGGCCTGGGCAACTTAAAAGCGGATAAATCCAAATGCTAAATTTAGAAAAAAACGTTCTCCAGCACATGGTGTAGCCAGAATCCATGTTTTGTGAGTCATGAATACCGAAAAATCGATTGACGGCAAAACATATCTGTGAAATGTGAATGCTAGTGGCTTTACTATTCACCTGCTTTTCTACAGAATTGATATTCCCCTCGGCTTCTTGAAATTAAAACCAATAGTTCAATTTTGGGGATACTTTTCATGAATTTGATTCCTGGTCGAGTCAAGATTATAGTGTGTGTTTTCCTTACAATGTCGCAATATATGATGCGTGTACCGATTAGAAAATTCGCTTCTCAGGTTGAGAAAACCGGAATACGGCTTGGGGATGTCTATGTGCTAACCACACGTACTCCATTAACCCATGGCTACGAGGCATGTATGTCGCCGGTAGATCTGAGGCCGTTCACGGGCTGTCACACCAAGTACGTACATACATATGTACTTTACATGAAGCTACTGGGACATTTCCAAACATTTCAAAAAAATGACTCCTACGTTTTTGATTAAACTTTGTTAATAGATAGTGCGAAGAATGTGGATAGTGGCACAGGTCTCATGTTCATTGAAAAACCTGATTTTTCAAATATTGAAATTATTCAAAATTTTTTCAGCATCTTCCTACAACCTTAATTATGAAGATAAACATTATTTTCTTAATGAAGTGTGTTCATGATAAACATCATGATAAACATGAGTATTTAGGTGAAATTTTGTGTCAAACATAGGCAACTTTTAGTCTTTAAACCATTTATTTTTTAAAAAATGGTGTACAATTTTTTGATTAAATTTGGACTTAAGATATTGTAAAGGATGTGTGTCTCATGTTCTGTGAATGCTTAATTTTTCGAAAATATAAACAATTAAAATTATTTTCTGCGGCTGCTTATAACTACAATTGTGAAGATACAATTTTTTTCTAAATAAAATGTCTTCATCAAAAACATATCTTCATATAAGGACTTGTTGAATTTTTCAAAAATAGGAGTACTCTTTGAGTAATTTGGCATCAAACATTGACGCCTCTTCCGAATTTACTGTGCTTTGTGCACGTAAAATAAATGGTGATGTTAGGCACTTGGATGCTATGCAAGTTAGAATTTGTATATTATTTCATACTTGTTGTTTGTTTCTTAGATCCGAGCTTTTGTTATACTTTTAAAATGAATCTTTAAAAATTATTTGAATCCTATTTTAAATTGCATCCTTTAATTGAGTTAAATGGAGAAATGAATGGATGATTTTGCTTTGGATCATAAGATGTAGGAAAGAAGAGTAATGTGCGTAAAAAAACAATAATTTTGATGAATATAAAAATATTATATTTAATTATTATATTTTCTATCCATTTTCATTTTCTTGCTAGCGGTATCAACAACGCTTATTGGCAAAATGTGTATCCCACACAAATTAGTGATCATTATTGCTTGTGGCATCCCATTGTTGTAACTAATAATTTTATTTACTGCTAAAATATGCATCCTACATCGTTGGTTCATTTATGTAGAACGTGAACACAATAAACACAATGGCAAAAGGCTGTTTTCATTTAAGCATTTGCAATAAAAATATTATATATATAATATCTTATATAATTTTTATTGTCATGCGATGATAATGGGCATATAGATAGATCTGGGGAGATACCATCGTAGATATTACAACATCACATTCCCTATTAAAACAATAATTTCATTCTTCATATCTAGATATAAGTAAATGGATAAGGCAAGCAGCTTTCTGTGTATTAATCTCAGGTTACTCAGACTTCTGCCAGAAAGTATTGGGGTATGATATGTAGACTTTGGATTGATAGCTCTAAAATTTCCCATTTAATCTACATTGAATCTTTAGAGATAAAAATAAGTGTGATAATTTCTTAAATAGACAGTGTAAATTGAGATGAAACTGCCTTCATAATTCATTTTTTTTCCCAACCATTTTTAATAGATATATTAGAGTGAAATATTAAAAAAAAATTATGATGTGAATGGGGACATTCTTTCTCAGAACTGTCAACAAAATATCGAAGGTTCGGAAATCATGCAAATAATTATAAATTCAGATTCAACATGACATAAAAACAAAAAATAATTTTTTGGAAAGTAATATTTCATCTAAAAATTAAATTTTTTAATGATTTAAAAAAAAATTCCGGTATTGTTGCATTAAAAAGTTTGAAGCTATGATAGAATACATAAAGTTTAGTATAATATTGTTTTAACACTATACTGGTGTCAAGCAACAGCATAATTGCACAACAAACATTTTTCAAGGTCATAGAGGGCATAAAGGAGTTCTTTAAAAATCGATTGTGAAAATATGTGACAGCCTTTTTTCGATTTTCAAAAACCACAATATTCAGAACTATTCAAATTATACAGAACTATGAGCATTTTTATTGCAAACTTTGTGATGGAAAGTTGTCACTTTGCAGACAAAATCATATAGGGTGCATAGTTATGTTTTTATTGATTTATTTTTTTCTACGCAGGTTATTCGAGGACTTTCTACTGCAAACTGCAGTGGTGAACCTAGCCTCCAAAATGCTTTGGACCTTGCAATTCGTTCATTAAGGCTTCTTCCTGCACATGCTAGCCGTGAAGTTCTAGTCTTAATGGCTAGTTTGACCACTTGCGATCCTGGTGATATTCTTGTTACCATTCAAGTATGTTACCAATTACATTTTCATTACAAAATTTTGCTGTGGTGGCTCTGTTCTTTTGTTCTTTTTAATTGATTTCACTTCACTTTAATTATATTTCCATTTTGGAATTACCTTAGGGAATGCATATACATATGAAAGATGGTTAACGTGAGGTAGTAAGTTTTTTTATGAGGAAAGATGTATAGATTCACAGATGAACTGATATAAAGAATTGTTTAAGTTCATTTTATTCATTTATTATCTTCATTTAAAATCACTAAATTGTTTTCCTTTTAATTTCACATCAATTTGAACATACACAATGATTTTGCTACATCAGTTATGCTACATCAGCATTGTAAGTTTTTTGTATCTTTTGTTAAAGATATTATGGCTGAGTAACATTTTAACAGTTCTGATGCATTGAATACTGATTACAGTTTGTTGACAACATTTTTTATGTGAAGAAGGAGGAAGAAAAAATTGAATTAATATATTTTTTTAAACTTTAATTTGATATTTTATTTTATTTCTATAATATAATAAATTGGTGTATGCTAGTACGTAATTAGAGTTTTATTGCAGCTAATAATTATAAACAGTTGACTCATAATAATTTCTTGTTAATTTTTGTGTGATCATTATAGGCTTGTCTAATGTTCATGAGATTGCATATGTCTCTTTAACACAGGAGCACCTAGACTTTTGTTGCTCCCTAGATTGTCCAAATATGCCCAAAATGGCACATAACTAATTGTAGCTCTTTTTATAAAATAATTGTAAAATTTTTGCTTAAGAAGGATCCTATGAATGATTGAATACATTAATAACTTCTTTATTTTGAATTTTATGAATTACAAAATACTTAGAAAAGATGCAGAATTAAGGGTATTACACTGTACACATTTAACACAGATGTTTTTGTAAATGATTTTGAATAATAATGAAGAGTTCCTCTTAGAAGAGGAGATCATTTTGAACTAAAGCTTTTATAAAAATCCTAATTTATTGTTCACTTAAATCATGAACAAAGATATTTAAATAAATATTATTGGTACGAATCTACTGAATGTTTTCAATGATCCTGCAACAGCATATGCACATGTGAATGCATGCCATTGTTTGAACACCAATAAATTCTACTTGCAGATGTATTGCAACTCACCAAACATTGCTATTTTTTCCAATACATGTTTGCTTTGTTATCTGTATTTTTGTGTAATGTTATAGGAACTGAAGACACTGGGAGTTCGTTGTTCCGTTTTGTCTCTTGCTGCAGAAGTTCATGTGTGTCGCTTGTTAGCTCGAGAAACAGGGGGTCAATTTGGTGTAGTTCTTGATGACTGTCATTTTCGTGATCTCCTCTTGGGTCATGTAGACCCTCCTCCAGCTGTTACTGGACTAGAATCTTCACTAATAAAAATGGGTTTTCCACACCATCAGATTACTGAAGGGAAAGAAGCAGCACTCTCCATGTGTATGTGGTAAGTTAAATTGGACAACTAGGATATTAATACTGTGAATTTTAAGGATAGAATGTCTCATTTCGTATCTCTGCTAATAGGTTTTTTTAAATATTTTAATTGAAAGTTGTTAGGCTTTATTAAGCGTATATGCTATGATTGGCACTAATTACAAATATTGAAATCACTTGATTTGATTTTGATTACACCAGTACTTATGTACTCTTCTGTTGTTTGGACATCTTGTTTTTTGAACAGTATCTCTACAGTTGAAACAGTCCAACATAAGTATTTTAGACTTGCTGCATACCTTATTTTATAAAACATTCAATCCCTTATCTCTGAAACTTTTTGAGACCTTAATTTTAAGTTTTGCAAGAGAGATAAGCATAGTAGTAATATGCATATGGTAACAAAATGAGTACAGTTTGTTTCTTCTTTATGTGTCTCAATGTATTTCTAGATAAAAATATACAAAATAAAAAAAGGGGAAAAAAATTGTTTCACTTATAATTTTGTGTAAAATAAAAGTAAAATCCTAAAAACATTAATTTGGTACCAGTTATTAAAAGCAATTGCATGAAGGAGCTTTTCAAATTTTATGTTAATAGTTTCTGAGATTTACACATTTACACATTTCTGAGGTCACATTTAAAGTCACATGAACATGGGAGAGATCTACTTCTTTGATTCCTCTTAAACCAAAATGAAAGTATTATTCATGAATCGTATCTCATAAAATTGAAATTTTTTACTCATTTAATATAAATGAAATTATCAAGTTCAATGCTGTTAAAGATTAAATTACTACTATAAATAATAGAAGGCACCACCAGTTCATAATACATTAGAATCTTTGGTTTTATACCCTTTATAATCTTTTAATTTTTGTGTGTGTTTGATGTGTAAAAAGGTGGAAAGTTGTACTTAGCAAATATGTTTTTGGAGCTTTCATTAATGTTTTTGTAAATTTTTATAGTGGTGACAGACTGTTTAGCATATTTGGAATTTTTTATATACTATTACTCCAATAGTTTGACAAGCATGTAATAAAAATCTATTTGTTCAGTTATATATTGTTCATAATTGCTGCAACTTTTTAAACATTTGATTAGCGATTGCGTGTTCATGTGGTAAAATAGTAATTGTATTCTGAATTTTCAGATTTGTGATATCTCATTCTAAATGCAATTTTCTGAAAAATGTTTGATTTACCGTGTTTGTTCATATTTCAAGAAAATAATAATTAAAATAAATTATTTATTTATTTATTCTGTGGTATGTTAATAAATTATGAATTTATTTTTTATATTTTAAAATTAAATATATAAATTATTTGACGAATTTATCGCTAATCCTCAAGAAAAAAGTCTCGTATAATCACAGTTCTGCTTACTCTAAAGGAAACTCCAGTGCATCTACATTTTTTGTAGACTTAAGGAACTGTTTTAGGAACCACCATTTGGTGAATGACCCTTGTCCACAAAATACTAGTTTTGACATTGCACTGGTACTGTCTACCCAGCCTGTCAATTACAAATTTCCACCAATTGAAAACCTTATATAAAAATATGAAGGTTAGATTATCATAATAATAATTCAGATCTGTAATTATCATTATGATAATAATATTAAAAATGATGTAAAGTGACCATGAAGATAGTCGAAATGTAGCACATGATGGATTTAAGTAAGATGGAAAAGTAAACATGCCCAGCTATAAATGTATTATTTTTAATTGAAGCAGACCACCACTGGTTTTGTTTTGTAGTTGTCAGTAGTAAGCCTTATAGTGTAGAGGGAATAGGGGGATAGATTGAGACTGGCAGTTAGAAAGACAATATTAAAAAAAAATAATAATAATTTTTATAATGCAAATAATTAATAGCAATAATA